TCATGTAAATTAGAACCAAGGTGCGTGATCCTTTCAACGCAGCTCTATTACCATACTCAAATTTTGCATCCATTTAATCACACAGTTTCTGACCTGCTCTGTATTGAATTTCACTAATAATTGATAAATTAAACCAAAAACACTTGCTAAATAACCTATTAAAGGCAATTCTCAACTTATAATGGCAATTGGGACCAGAATAAGGGAGTGATGCAGTTGTAAAGCAATCCCCGCAGTCCTGGTTGCAACTGTTAACCAAGTCCCATTGTTGTTAAGTAAGATAACTCTCTGTCAGCTTCCCACAATAAGTCAAGGGAGAAGCTGGCAGGAAGTTACCAAAGGGGACTGGCATCCAGGTAAGCACTTAAATCATGATTATGGACCATGGGAATGCTGGGACAGCTAGAACTGCAAGGACCTGTCATAACCACCATTTGTTCAGCACGTTCATAACTTAGAATGGTAGTAAGTCAAGGACTAACTGTATAAGATTTTTGAATTTTGTTAAATCTAAGAATATTGAATTCCTCCTTGTTTCTGCCATTTTCATACTCCTCTTTTTCTACTCACGTAGTACTTGTGTTCGATTAAATGAATTACAAATTCAGGAAGAATCACAATGGATTAAATAACCTCATCTGCCATTTTCTTCATGCTGTACTACTTATTGGAAGGAACCTACAGTAAACTACCTTCATCTTCTTAACAATCTTGCATCTTCTTGCAATCTGAATGAATGATTGCCTTTCCATTGTACTCATTTTTTATATCCTTCTCTTCATAAAAATAGGCATTTAATAACAAAGCTAAAGGTGAAAACCCTGGACTTAGTCTTTTGCTCTTTTTGCCCCATCTATTTTGTTATATTACTCCATATTGCATGGTCTCTTATAAATTGTTTACTTCTATTTTTTTTTTTATCAAACCAAAGGTATTTATGCAAATGATCTGAAACTCTTGGCCATGCCATAGAAGCAGCAGAAATATAAGGAAACACAATGGATTCTGAAATCCATGTTAAATAACTCACATGGGAGTACAATTTAATGTTTGGAGCCGCTGGTCCACCCTGCTCTCTCAAATCCTGCAAAATCTTGAATCTAGTACTTGATCTTTTATTGGACCACATATAATTGCTTACCTATCTATACTAGTCAGTTAATATCTTGTTTTCAATATATAATCATAATCATTTGAAAAAGGAAGGTGAATCTTGGCAAAATGTATTTATTGAAACATCACTGTGCCTTCTTCAGCCCCTAATACTCTTAGAGGGCTCTCGCTAGATACCAGGAGAAATGAGGAAAAAGCTGTGGGAAGAATTCAGAGAAAGAAATATTTTGGGGAATATTAAAAAGGCAGAATATATTTTTTTTCTCTCGGGATTAGGGACATTTAACAGTTAACATTTACATAATACACAAAGACTTTGATGCAGACACACACAGAAAGACAAGGAAAGAGGAAAGGAAAGGGAAACAGAACTCTTGGTTTTCACACACTGGCCATTCCCACTATAAATCTCAGTTAAATCAAATTAACCCTAACCCTAACCCTTGGGGAAATATATTCTGTCTTTTTAATATTCCCCAAAATATTTCTTTCCCTGGATTCTTCCCGCAAAGCTTAGGCCCCTCACTCCTCTTATGTGCCTTCCTCTAAGACAAGGTTTCTTCAAGTGTGGCCCTAGGACTTGCGTGTGGGAATCCGCCAAGACCCTCTCAGAGTTCCATGATATCACAATTATTTGCCAGCCCATGGTGAAAAATAATACAATGTTAAAATCCCATCAAACAATTGTGAGCAGCAGTAGCAGTAGTGAATGCGTCAATTTCAATTTTCAATAGGTCAATATGGATAAATGCTATCATGTATATAAACCAAGGCTCTTTTGAGGTTCTCCATAATTTTTAAAAGTGGGAAAGGGTCCTTTGAGGAAAGTTTCAGAAACCCTGCTCTAGACATTCGGGAGCTGATACAGACTACTTGGCCCCTCTGAAGAGCAGACCTCCAGAATGTCTTCATGTGGGTAAACGGGGAGCATCAAAGATTGGGTTCCATGGGCCAGTCACAATATGTTTTATTAATTTCTTTTTTCACAGAAAGTTGTCTTGAGACCTGGTGTTTGGTACATCCTGTATACCCAACACACACACACAAACACAGACATGCACACACAGAGGCAGACACACACACAGACACACACACACATGCAATACAGTTATAAAGAAAACAAATATTACACAAAGGCTAGAAGTATTGCAGTCCCTCCTCTTAAAGAAAAACAGAGAGAGCACCATTGCACCATTGCTTGGGAAAGGATGATGTAAATATTGGTTTCAGTTGTGGATGAAGACTCAAGTCTTTTGTGCTTAGCCCACTTATAAATATAATTCCATCACACAATTCCCTTCTGGGGAAAGCAGCAATTTTATGCTTTTTTTTAATCCTTATCGACAACATATATTACCATTATATTTGGCTCTTTTTTCTTTTTGTTATTAATTAAAAAGTAACAAAATAAATAATCACAATCAGATTTCTGATTGTGAAAGTANCTGGGCCAGGGGAGCCCTCTTTTATGGGATTCCCCTGGCTTGTAATCACACAATTCCATTGGCTGGCAAGACCCTGTTGCTAGTTAGCCAACCAGCAACGGGCATGAAACTGTATGCAGATGGAGAAAGGCAATCACCCTTAATGGGCGATCAATGGTGAAGGCAATCACCCTTAATGGGCGATCAATGGTGAAGGGCACTCACCCTTAATGGGTGATCAGGATATGCATAGGGGATTAAGGGGGGGGAATACAGAGAACACAACAGATGAAGACTCAAGTCTTTTGTGCTTAGCCCACTTATAAATATAATTCCATCACACAATTCCCTTCTGGGGAAAGCACCAATTTTATGCTTTTTTTTTAATCCTAATCGACAACATATATTACCATTATATTTGGCTCTTTTTTCTTTTTGTTATTAATTAAAAAGTAACAAAATAAATAATCACAATCAGATTTCTGATTGTGAAAGTAACAGATACCATGGTGTTGCAACATCAAGGCTTAAGTCACAATGTCCTGATTTTGAATATTTAGTTGAAATAGGATTTGTTGCAATCTGCAAGGCTAATTTTCAAAAACCCTTGATATGAGTTTCCGTGGTCCGAGACTTCTCATTCCACAGTAAAATATACAGCAGAGACTTTTCTGTTTCCTGTCTCTAACTCTACCAGAGCACTCTCATGCTCTTGAGGCAGGCATATTTTCTTGCTTGGAAATAGTTTTAATCACCAGTTTGAAGTTCTTTTTTCTAGCCAGTAGCTGAGTGCAGAGAAGTTTCCATCAAGTGGTGCTGGTTAGGAATACGTTATTACTCTTGCCAAAGCACAAATCCCCAATGGCATTTCAGTGTCTGTCATAGTGAGATGTACTGCCTTCCATGTTGACCTCTTTATCCCTCTGCGATATTCAGCTACCACATTGGGCTATTGAGAATTGCGTGGGCAGAACCACTCACCAAGACCAAACATATTAAAAGAAGTACGACCAACCTTAGAACTGACACAGAGTATACTGAAATGGCAGGTAGCTTCCGCCTTTTGGGATAGGGCCAGGGGTAGGAAGCCTTGGCTCTTTTATGATTCGTGGACTTCAGCTCCCAGAATTCCTGACCCAGCCATGCTGAGGGGAAAGGGAGAGGTTTCCAAGCTGAGCCATGCTGGCTCAGGAATTCTGGGAGTTGAAGTCCACGAGTCATAAAAGAGCCAAGGTTGCCTACCCCTGGGATAGGCCAACAGCACAGTAAAAGAATAAGCAGTCAAGAAATACCCTGCCGACTAGTCCTCAATAGGGCAGCCATGAAGGCCTTAGAAAGATATCCAGATGTCATGACATGATTACACCTACAAATTACATAATTACATAAACCATGGTATTCCCTGTGACACTCTACGGAAGTGAAACTTGGACTTTGAAGAAACAGGACAGGAAGAGTATTAATGCTTTTGAACTTTGGTATGGGAGAAGAGAATCTAGAATACCAAGAAATGGATCATCAAACAAATCAGTCCCGAGTACCAGTCTCAAATTATCCTATTTTGAACACATAATGCAAAGACTTAGTTTTCTGAGAAAGACTGTAATGCTGGGAAAGGTGGAGAGAAAGAGAAGATGGTCATCGGGGAGCTGGAAGGATTCAGTTACAGTGTAATGGGTGCACCATTGGAAGATCTGAAAGACCAGATTAGGGGGGGGGGGAAATCTACTGGGCTTGATAGCATGTAATTAATTATTTCAATTTTAAAATAAAATCAAAAGATTGAAGGCTATATTTCTGTAATGTTTACTACCACCATAATTCTGTATGTTTACGCCAACAACGCAATTCGTACAAAAGTAGAGGATATTAATTTTGCAAAGGGTTCAGCGCACTCTACTGTCGGTTGTCAAAACACCACGTGCTTGCTTTATTTTCTATATTGAGCAATTTATACACCTGATGTGGCCGAACTACAACTCCCAGCAATCCAAGCGGCTGGCCGCCAAACACATATTGTACAGCAAAAAATTAGAAAAATTGGAGTTCTTGCTCCTTCGAAATCATCCTTCGATTTTTTGAAATTTGGAGTTGCCTCAATTTTTGAAGATATGCCTACATGTCCGCTGAGAAAGTGTCTTCTACTGAGATCTAAGAGATTGGCTTTGATCTTGGTTACATGCTCAGTCAGTTCTGTAAATTACTCTTAGCGTAGCTACGATTTGCCCTTGAGATCATATAACACCTAACTTATCTTTCTCATCCCGACTTTATATTGCACACTATAAAGATAATTGTACAGGACCATTTTTTTAAATGGGAGATAATTTTTTTTTAAAAAAAATTCCTGTCGCCCTGAAAAAAACCATTGAAAAACCCGCTACCTACGGAAGGATTGTCTTTTCTTCTTTTTAAATCTATGGTCAAAAACACCCCATTGGATCTCGGTGAGTGAGTGAGTGAGTGTGCGCTTTTACCAGCGCATGCGCACTCTGTTAAAGAAGCCAAGACTTTGTGCTTCCTGTAAGTACCGTGGCCGCGGGTGGTCGTGGTATGGAAGGGTCTTCTCGGATTTTCTTGCTTTTCTAAAGCGGGACGCGCGAAGCGAAGATCCCGCGGGACCAAACTTACGTGGGGAAAGGAGCCCCGTGCAGTGAATAAACTGGCGGGTTGTGATGATGGTGGTCAAAGTAGGATTGTGCCGAGTGGGAACCAATTTCTGTCCTTGCTCGCGTCTGTCGCCGTGTTTGACGGGCGGCACGGGCTAGCCCAGTGTTTCTCAACCT